CAACTGCTATGTCTGGAGCAAATACAAAAAACCCATTCAACTGTATGAATTATGATTTAAAACATGGGACTCTGTTTTGTGACGGAATACCAGTTGATGGCATACCACTCAAACTTGATTTCAACGAGAATAGTGGTGCATCGAACGTTTCTCCTTATGTAAAAATGTTCGAAACACGAGGAAAGTGGATGTTGGATACGGGGAATGAAATAACAAGGCCTGAATTCAACAATGGATATACGCTTCTATGCTTCAACTTAGAACCATTCTTTTCGGATACCAAATATCTTTCACTACTGAAGCAGGGAAAAATACGATTGGAATGTCAGTTTGGTACTCCATTACCAGAAACAGCTGCCTTACTGATTTTAGCTGAAAACTATGGATACTTTGAAATAACCGAGAATCGACAAATAAAGATTGAACACTAACATTTCCATGTAAATTGTAAAATCATGACTATGACTGTTTGTTTATTGTGTACATCTATCTTTTTTTATAATGTGTGTTTTACTAAAATATATTCAAATAAACGAAAACAAACAACTGGGTTCATTGATATTTTATGTTTTATTTCAATCAGATAGAATGCGAAAAAAAAAACAGGAATAAATAAAACATAGATGTAAAAGTACATTACAAGATAAAAGTAACTAAATTACCCACAAACAAATTTTGTCATACACAAAATAATAAACTGAATAAATACTATCGAATACCATATACAATAAATTATAATAAAAATATGATGCATCTACATTCTCCCTCACTATATGTAACAATCGTATTTAAATCACCATTAATTTTTGATATACAAAAAAAATCCCACTTTGCTCTCGTTATTAATACACATTTGACAAAAAGAAAACAAACAAACAAAAAATAACCAATGCATATTTGAATATATAATAAAATACATATACACAAAGCGACAAAAAATGTACATGGGCTAAAACTTGTTTACTCATTTCGGAACAAAAATTACTGGATCTTCTCCTTTGAAAATTTTTGTTCTCAATAAATATGTTTTATCTGTATGCGTTGACAAATCGATTATCAAATAACCAAACCTACTAGAAACTGCCTTTTCATAAGCTGACATGAAATAATTTAATTGACCTGGGAGAATCTGTCTTCCTAAAACTGATAACTGGTGTTTGTCACGTTGGTTCTTAAGACAAATAATGTATGTTGCGTTTAACGAAATAGTACGTATGCATTTTCCAAGAGGGAAAAGATTTTGCATTAAAAACAAAACTGTTATATTACAGTGATGAGATTTGACGGTAAAAAGATTTAATACATCACTAGAGTTTGCAGCTTGACATAATAAATCATCAAGACAAAGAATCATATGTTCTTTATTTTCCGACCATTTATCAATTTCCTCATTCGTTGGTAAACCTTCGTGAAAAGTTATGTTTCTAACTTTTTTTTCCATCTCTGAAAACAAATCCTGATATGCAGAGTAGCAATAAATGGTTTTCTTTGGTGTTTTTGTAAATAGGTATTCAGATTGAGCTAGTATTTTATATGTAAGCATGGTTTTTCCTGACTGAGTAGGTCCAACTATTTGTATACAACACGGCGATTGAAACGGCAAAAGCACTTTCTCCGGGTCTTCACACATTTTTGTTTGTTTGTTGTCTAAACCTTAATTGTCTTATGGATTGTGTTTTATTTTTCAAGGTATTTGTTTGTTTTATATACTGTTATTTCTAACTTGTTTTAGTTTTCTTTATTTGAGAAAGAAAATACACCACCAGAAAGAAAAAAAAAGAATCAAAATACATCACCAGAAAAAAAAGAATCAAAATACTACAACTGAAAAAAAAAGAACCAAGTACACAATAAAGTGCAACAAATGAAGTAAAATACGGATGCCACCTAATGATTCCGGAATAAAAAAGCGGATATTAACGAACGATTCCGGAAATGATCGGAAATGACTTTACATTCGGAAATAAACGAATGTTTCCGACTACTACCGGAAATAAATATACATACGGAAATAAACGAATGATTACGAATACAATCGAAATGATATAAACGAACATGAAGTCATTTCTAATCTTTACCAGAAATATAATTTTTTCATTAAAAAATAAATACACAACGAAAAAATTTCATATCAGTATACAAATTTATTCAATGAAATATACATGTATTTATATATAATACAATCTTATTGTGTGAAACGTCCTTCAAGTTTTACTTTCCTTTCCATTAAATTATAAACAGTCTCTTTCATTTTTTGTGATCGAAGTGTATCCAGGAACAACACATGAAGAATGAAAAAGTTTAAAACGACACTATTTTCCAAGTTCAATGTTCTCACATTTTCTCTGTACTTTCCTAGTATGTGACTGTATTTAAATTCAGAATACGCCTGTTCAAAATGTTTTTCAAGTTTATCCAGTTCACTATCCATCAAACAATCGTGTCTATGTTGTGATCCATGTTCAACTTTGCATCCCTGGCAAAACTTCTTTGATAATTGTTGCACCATTTCTTCTAATAATTCAGGAAAAGAAAACAATAATATAGTTGAAAGTAGCCTTTTTCCCATGCCGTCTTTAATGTCCACCATTATATTATCAGTGTTCGTCTATAAATGAATAAAGAAATAAGATGCTTTCCTTTAGATTACACAGTTTTGTCCAATTTTCTTTACTGATCAGAATCTTTTTCCCTTTTATAACAAGCTGTAATCGAGTATGTTTTCCTCTTTTCTTCACCACCACTTTTATCGTTTCATCAATTAAACATTCAATCTGTTTCTTGAATAAATCAGTATGCAAATGTTCAAAGTCACAACCGTACACCTCCTTAGATAAATCAACCTGTGCCTGTGCCATTGATATAATTGTGTACTTTTATAGTTGTGGTCGCGGATTAAATTGTTCATGATGATTCATAAAAAGATTAACGAAACGTATAGTAAACGTTTCAGTGACGTGAGGGGGAGGAGGGTCACTAAAACACTCTTTTTTCCTCCTTTCTTTTAATATGAATATCATTTATATTTTATTTATAGAGGGGTTTGGTAAAATGTAACCAGTACAACCACTTAACAAACTAACCCATAGTTCTATACTTCTATTTTGTGTTGACAAATTAACAACTGCTGCAATAACAATTATGAAAACTATTATCATCTGACAAAAATACACGATCTCTGCTTTTGGTACATTCTGACCGAAAAAACTTCACTTTGTTTGAGGGTTTTCTGTGCTCATTCTCTCTAACATTTCAACTTAAATGATTTTTTTTTTCATATACACAAAAATGTATATCTATATTTTATAGAATTTCATTAAGAAGTGTAATTTCCAATTTTCAATATGAAAACTTTTGTTATCATAATGCTGTTTTAGTTGAAATAATGTGTGTTTATCAATCGAAAGTAATAAAATATATAATCTAGTTTTCTTTTCTTCGAAAATAAACGAGTTGTGAACCTTTTGTAGATATTTCATAATCGTTGGAGACGAAAATCGAACTGATCATGTACAACAATAAAATACTCTTTTTGAATGATTTGTTGGTCCTAAAAAGGACCGTTGTACACATGTAAATGATAAACATGGATTTTTTTATTGGTAGTTGACATGATCCATAAAATTGTAGTCTGCTAACACTGCATCAAAGTAACAACCACAAAAATAAAGATCTTCAATAAACTCTGGGTGGTGTTCAAAGTTGTATAGAATACAAACAATGTAACCGTTTTTTAGAAGCCATGTTTCTACTGGACACCGAGATAGTTCTTCATGATGAAGTTTATCAACCCTGTTCCTTATCAAATTTGCAGTCTTTTTTGGACCTCTTCGCGATCGTCTGATCTTTCCTGTCAATTCTCTTTCTCTTAAAAGTGTATACATATTAAAATTTTGGAGATTCATATTGTTTGTTCTTATGGAAATACTGTTGATGTATGATATATAACGTTTTTCTTAGTTTATAAACTGATTGCATTCAGATTATACTTCAGGATGTAAACGTGGATAGGTCAACGTGTATACCACGTTTACAAGATCATACGTAGGAGGGTAGGGGGATTAAAAACACTTCCGTTAATTTTCCACCACCGGATTTTAACCAGGATGTTAAGTAGCAGTTAAGAGGATTACAAGATTAATCTACTTCAGTTAAGAGGATTATAACCAGGATGTTAAGTACAAGTTAAGAAGATTAAGAGATTAATCCACTTCAGTTAAGAGGATTATAACCAGGATGTTAAGTAGCAGTTAAGAGGATTACGAGATTAATCCACTTCAGTTAAGAGGATTATAACCCGGATGTTAAGTAGCAGTTAAGAGGATTAAGAGATTATAGACCGGATACTACGTCATAGTTAAGAGGATTAGCTGTGACGTGGCTTCCTGTGGCGGAATTGTGGCGGACTGACCCCATTTCCTACTACTGTTATAAATTAACTGTTTACAAAACATTGCATTTTTTCGGCTTTTGTACCCCGGGAGCAGATAACCTTAGCTGTATTTGACAAAACCTTTCCAAGTGTTTGGTACTCATCGCTCTTTATTTGGCATTTTTAACGTTTTTGATTCGAGTGACACTGATGAATCTTTTGTAGACGAAACGCGTCTGGCGTTCAACATTTTAAGCCTGGTATTTATGAGGACTCTATTTCTTTTGATTTGAAATTTCTAGCAATTCGCAATAATTATAGCTATGATTAGACTTCCAAAGTAGTTAAATTATTACATATAGAATAAATAGCTATAAAGAAAAAAAATTACTTGGTATGTGTCTCACCAACTATTCCTCCAACTGTCACCAAGAATGTTTTGTAAAAGTAGGCAACCTACTATACTAAAGAAGAACGAGGTTAATTCTATTGCGTTATTTTTCTAGTCACAAAAGTCACATAAATAAATTGGTTGCCAAAATAAGTTGATTTGAAGTATTGTCTTTTCCAAAACTAACTTAAAACTTCTAAAACTTTATCCAAACAATAACATGAATAAGTACTTTACATTCCAATGCTTTGCATGTTATAATCTGTTCGTTTAGTTTTCTAATGGCGAGAAGATATCATAACTGCAATAAGTGTCTGTTATTATTTGACCTTAAAAAAAAACATACAAAATTTTATGTATAAATGTGAGATAAAGAAGCGTTAAAAATGAGATCACCTACAACCAGGACTGTAATGATGAATTTGAATTGCATGCTATTTAACTCTATTTGAATGTGTTTATCATGAATACAAACCCTTCCTGTACAAAATGCAAATGTGCACTTTAAAACTTTGAACTTCACTAAAATTTATCAAGCGATGTAAGAGGGGTATTGCTCATTACAATGTTTTAGACTAATTGGTGGACATATGAATGGAAAGAACAAAAACAAATGGGCGATGGGACAAGATGATTCCTACATTTCCGATAAATACACATACAACACTATGAACAAAGCGAAAAAGTAGGACAAACAACAGTTCTCAAAACACTACACCGAAATGTACGAACACTACCTTAAACCAGTGGTGATTGAAGTTGGTCAGGAAGGGTAATCAATCTTGATAAAACAAGTAATATACTAAATTAGTATGTAATAATGTGCTTACATAAATAATTTGTAATGTAAAGCGTGTGGTGCAAACAGTATTTATTTAATATGTCTTTCACTTTCGACATCGAAAAAAAACATATTTCTATTATATATTCCTTGTTTATTCCTTACTCACTTTTAATACCTCCTTTTCAAATATGGTAAAATATTTTCTCTAGATATCGACAACAATCGATGTGTTATCTAAACAATCAAAATCACAAGGATCCATATATGCAACTGGTGGATTAAGGGCAACCTTTAGAAGGCGGATTCCTGACTAGTATTATATTAATTGCAGTTACATATCACGAAAAATAATTACCTTCAAATATAAACGATAAATCTATTTTATTTTTGGTATATAGATAATAATATTGATATATATAAAGAAGCATTTTGCTTAATGCACATTTTAATCATTTTTGAAAGATTTTTTTAAATTGCAATTTTCTGTTACTATTGTGCAATTAACATTTTAATGTGCACCTGATTTAGAATTCAAGTATTCTGTTATCTCATTTTTATATGACATTTGGAAAAAATATATCATAAAGAACCAGCAAAGATCTTTTTGTTTAATCATTACGAAATTTATGAATGTTTATTTTTTACATTTTACCTATTAACACAAATTGCAACGTATGAATGATTGAGGACCGTGCAAAACAGAAAGTAAAGATAATTAGCTTTCAAATAATATGTTATATAACCGTATGTTAGGTTGGTGCATTAACGTCGTTAACTAAGCGTCTTTTTTGAAAAAATGTCACTCGTCTATTAATTGATGGCGTTGATGGGCATTGTGCTTACATGTATGTCATATAATGACAACAATCAACAAACTTGTTATACTGCTGCTATTTTAGAGCGCATAAAGACCTTACCCTTCCCCTTAAATGTTTTGAGTTCAATTCAGCTTTGTCACCGAGGCTTTGAAACCCTCGGCTTACAGTGCTGATTTAGCCTTCATAAGAAGATCTCGATCGTTCCAATCCCTGATAGACATGGGAAAATAAATATTTCCGGTAATCACTGGATGCCGCTGGTTCCGGAAACGTTTATTATGTATGTTTCTCGACTTTTAGTTCGATGCTATATGTTAAGGCCGTTTGTCCCGCTGTTCTATGGGCCCCTAATATTTATCATAAATATAAGACAATTAATATGATGGCTTAACTTAAAACATCTTACCTTGTTTATTAACATACATAAGTCAATAAAAAGAACCTGACTCCAGGTAAAATAATTCATGCATAACACGTCGATATGTGTAGAAGAAGATGTTTTATTTCCATTAAATGGGCTCACAAGGAGCATAATATAATATAGCACATTAATTAGAGAATAACAAAAAGAAACAACAATAGTCTTACTGTGCGTACTGTTGTACGTTTGTTTTTTCTACATTGGCTAGAGGTATAGGGGGAGGGTTGAGATCTCAAAAAACATGTTTAACCCCGCCGCATTTTTGCGCCTGTCCCAAGTCAGGAGCCTCTAGCCTTTGTTAGTCTTGTATCATTTTAAATTTTAGTTTCTTGTGTATAATTTAGAGTTTAGTATGACATCCATTATCACTGAACTAGTATACATATTTATTTAGGGGCCAGCTGAAGGACGCCTCCGGGTGCGGGAGTTTCTCGCTGCATTGATGACCCATTGGTGGCCTTCGGCTGTTGTCTGCTCTATGGTCGGGTTGTTGTCTCTTTGACACATTCCCCATTTCCATTCTCAATTTTAATATACATACAAAGAACATCAAGAACTACACTCATATATATATATATATATTACGTACAAAATTTATAAGGATATCCAACACTAAATTGTATATATGCTGATAAATTCGTCTTCTTTTAAAAAAAATTATATACCTCGTTTTCTGCCATGAAAACAACGGATAACATATTTTTAAAAGCAGGTCAGGAACTAACCGTTATTATCGATCTGAAAGTATATATGACCGTACATATGAACATTTTGAAAAGTTTCCTTTGCAAAATGAAATTTGCTCATTGTTGAAGTTATCTACAATGTTGCTTAAATCTACGTCATATGCTATCTGTTGATTTTTTTTTCCTTATTCATATATAGGAATTATTTAATTCTTAATTTACATTTTATATAAAAATTCGATGACTGGACATCTGACGAGAAGGTGCATTGAAAACAGCAATAGTTTTGTCCATATAAAAGGTGTGATACATTTTCTACATCTTTTTTAGATTTTTTTTGTAGAGCAATCTTTTATTTGGCCAATATATTACCTTTTTATATTATTATCTTTTGTTAAGACGGTTTTATTTTCATTCTCTTTCATACACTGTATTGTCCTATAGTTTGGGGAAAGAGTTTTCAATTTCATTTATTGCAAGACTAGATTATTTATTCATTTAAAAATATTCCCCTTCGAGAATAGCAAATAATTGGATGTTAAAAAAAGGCGGAACCCTTTTGATCTTCTTTGGAAATTTAAAGTCATGTGTTGAAGATTAAAAATCGTGCGCCCAAGACATTTAAGATATTTTAAACTCAAGAAATAATAATTAGTAAAAGTCAAACGCTGAAGTTTTGAAATCTAGTACATGAGGTATAAAAATACAGCTCCGAAGAATTAAAGTTATTTCTAGCGCTGATTTGTTAAAGTTAACTGCTATTTTTGGCAGTCTCCTTCATTTTTGTAGGACAGAATATTTATTTTCATACTGTCTTGGACAAAGTAATTTCTCCCAGTCATTGCCAGACAAGAATAGTCATAGTTTATATGCAATTAAGTTTCTATCATCCGTCTTTGACATTAAGACACGACATTGCTGAAACAGAATTATTATCATTGAACGTTCTTCACCAGATTGGTGCGATTTTTATCTAAACGCAATTCTTTAAAATTCACACATAAGTCACAATCTTTAAAGTTATTGGTTCAAAGGAATTTTATTTCTAAAGCTAATCCGCCTTTTGATAAGATTTTGTTTCCTGTTTATATTGTTTGTCGATTTTTCTGCATCATTTGATAATCAGTCATGGAAAGAATTAAAAGAACAAGCAATTAATCCTTAGTTTGAAAGTCAAAGTCAAACAAGGATTTTATTGATATGGTATCCAAAATCTGGATTGTCCTCAATCAACACACAAACAAAAGATCAAACATTAATTATTACAATCAGTTCATATACATTAAAATGTAGAATACAAAACATTCAAAATAGAATCTTGTATGTATTTTTTCCAATTTTCTATTTGACCGAGGAGGGACAGTTTAATTTACAGATAATTTTCGATATCTATCATAATCTTAGTAATACAATAAAGAAAATGACTTATTGTGCATGTTGTTGCAATCATATTAAATATAACAAATTAACGTTAATGAACGTCTCACTCAGTGTATACATCTCACTAATACCGTTTATACAACAATTTACTGACATCAAAATCATTACTCCGAAATATGAGGTAGAATTTTTCAATGTCTTAAAGATTATAGCAATACACAAAACAAACACAACAAAAACTCAGTAATATTAAAATACATGTTAAAAACAGTTATTGGTCTCCTTTCCTCAGTTCTAATGACTCCTTAATGAAAGAAACGACTGTTTTTATATTATCCGGTGTTGATGGATTTGGTATAATCGCCAGTTTATCGGTTAAGTTAAGTTTATTAAAATTGACATATTTTTCGATGTAATATGAGCTGCGTCGGATAGAAATCGACCTTATGCAAATGCACGTAAACAAGTACATGTGTAAGACTATGATTGATTTTGGAACATTCAAATACGAAATAAAAGATAAGTTTTGGTCTGTTTTGTAGGGTTCTTATAACAACCAAATCTTCAAACAGTTACCGACTTTTCATAGAGATATTTTCAACCCGAGAAATGGTTAACAGATGTTTTGATATTCATTTGCATACGGTCGATTTCTATCCGACGCAGCTCAATTATCTTAATTACAGAGCTAACTACAGAGCTGTGGAATATTTTTTCATGTGGTTATTTAAATAATCTGTGGTTATTTAAATAATCTTCACAAAACGAGCGCGTGTTATTTGTTATAACATTTTCCTTTCCTTTTTTGTATCTGCTAAACTTGTAGCCATAATTGTAATATTTATTTTGTTTGCCTTCCGAGAGATATGCAAAGGAGATCGAATGGAAAATATAATTAGTTCTGGCTACAAATTAAATCAACAATTACATTAAGGTTAACATTATTTCTTTAAAATCGCCGATATTCAAGTCTGTATTTGAAAACAAATAATGTTGAAATTTATACAGTATATCAAGGATTTGTATGGTATACAAATCCGTGAGTATATATATTTATATACTACAGTGCCGGAATTCCTAGAATATGTGATTTTTGTAAGCATACAACAATTAATACCTCATCGAGTTCAGCTTGTGATACAATTTACGATTTTTTTTTTAATGAGGTCACTTTTTTTTATCAAAGATCTAGAGAAGTGTCCTTTTTCTCAAACGTGTCAGGACCCCAAACGTGTCC